TTCGGCTAAATACGCCACTGCTCTACCACTTGAGCTATCGTGACTTTGTTCCTCTCGGACACTGACTCTCCATTTTAACCTACAACCGTTCAAATTGTCTCTCTTTTTGTTATTTTCAATTGTCGCGTAACCGGATTGGATTCTCAGCGACTTTTGAAATAGCGAAAGGGAGCTGTTTCGTGAAGTGATATTTCTGTTACTTTTTAAGTACAAATCTATTTCGTTTTCGTGGACAATTGACCAAGTTAATTCTTTCAATCAATTATTTATTCTTTCTATGTAAGGTCTTAGTTGAGATAAAAAAAGTCAGTGTCACGATTGGGATTCGAACCAACGACCCTTCGGCTAAATACGCCGCTGTTCTACCACTTGAGCTATCCTGACTTCGATCTTCTCGGACACCAACTCTCCATCTCAACCTACAACCTTTCGAATTTTGCCATTTTCAAATGCCGTGTAATCGGATTGGATACTCAGCGACTTATGAAGTTGCCACGGAAAGCTGTTTCGTGAAGTGATACTTCTTTTACTTTTTAAATATTAATCCATTTAAATTTTCGTGTCAATTGAACAAGTTACTTCTTTCAATCAATTAATTATTCTTTCTATATAAGGTCCTGGTTTAGATAAAAAAGTCAGTGTCACGATCGGGATTCGAACCATCGACCCTTCGGCTAGATGCGCCGCTGCTCTACCACTTGAACTATCGTGACTTCGATCTTCTCGGACACCGACTCACCATCTCAACCTACAACCTTTCAAATTTTCCCTCTTTTTGTTATTTTCAAATGTTGCGTAATCGGATTGGATTCTCAGCGACTTAGGAAGTGGCCACGGAAAGCTGTTTCGTGAAGTGATATTTCTTTTACTCTTTAAATATTAATCCATTGATATTTTCGTGGTCAATTGACCAAGTTACTTCTTTCAATCAATTAATTATTCTTTCTAAGGTCTTGATTGAGATAAAAAGTAAGTGCCACGATTGGGATTCGAACCAACGACCCTTCGGCTAAATACGCGTAAGGTTCTTTGTTGAGATAAAAAAGTGGGTTCGAATCCCGTTTGTGACACTGACTTTTTTATCCCAACCAAGACCGTACATAAAAAGAATGATTCATTGATTTTAAAGTATGTTGAACAAAATCAACTTTTCATCTAATAAGCGAAGTAAATTCAATCATTGATGACCGCAGTGATTATCGCAACATTGATTGTGAAGAACCGGTTTGCCCTATATTTGTAGAAATAATTAGTAAAGTTGGACAAACAGGTGAGAAGGTGCGATCGGCCGTAGGCTTAGTTGCGTACAGAGTTTTCTATAATTGGCGCGGAGAGTGTGGAGACAAGTGCGAATCAGTGCGACGTGTTGACAACGAGCGTGCGGGCCTGGAGAAGCGTTCCTTTCATTCTGCCCAATTCTTGGCGTCTACTCTCCATCGCTTCTTCGAGGCTGGGAGCCGCATTGTACGTCTGTGCTAACTCTCTTTACGAGTTACTTCGCGTACCCATTTATTATCTGCAGAAATGAGAGTCAAGAATCTACAAACTTCGTGGATCATCTCTTCATTCAAGCACCCAGCTCCAACTTTTCCATTTCCATCCAGCCTGCAGCATCTTGGACACTAACACTGGGTCGGATTATTCCTTTTTTTTCTTGGTAATTTTCTCTGATATTTTTAACATCAAATGCTCCTTTTTTCATAAATTTATCTTTTTATTGATTTCCTGTAGGAGAGCCAATTTGTTGAGCTGACTCTTCTTTGTTTTAGATAATTTAAAAAGATTTTGATTAAAAGTTGAAAGTCTAATGATCCTTACAAAATGAAAATTTAAGTTAATTACGTTTTATTAAGGATCCAAGTTACTAGGATAATGTTCCAAATTATTGGTTGTAAACTTATTTATAGAGAGGATTTCCTTTATTCAAGACCATTGTTCAAAAAGATGAAAAACGTGACGTTGTTATAAAAGAAGCATGAATTATTATATTGGAAATAATGGAAAAAATACTCCGGGCAGGCATGTAATTTAACAACAGGTTAATTCATATATCATTACTCCAATTTGTTCTTTTGTGCATACGGCTGGCAAGATTGATGCCCGTGTTAAATAATGAATATTTGCGTGACGACACGCGAGCCCGAGGGTCCGTCCGTCTTGTCCGACGACACTTCGCCATTGTCCGAAGGTTTAGAATCACGAGTCGCAGACGGCCGAAAACGCCTCCGAAGATAGCCAGAAAGGGTTATGACCTAATAAAACCGGCATCTGCCACCTATTTACGTCTCCCCCTACGCCTTTTTACGCCCCGAGGAGGAATTCTGGACCGTTAATTACCGTGGACAAATTTATGACGTCCTAGGTCACGTGGCCTGCACCGCAGCAGGGGTCGCCAGATAGGGTTCGGTTATGTTCAACTGGTGAACTATAAAGACAAAATTAAAAATTAAAAGGGGAAATAATACAGGCTTAGTAATAGACTTTTTATGGCTGCTCTTATGTAAAAGTCTCTCTTATTAGCATCTTAAACACTAAAGAAATATTTCAAAGTAAGTCCGTTTATTTTCAAACCTACACGAATTATAAAACCAATTCATCCCACTTAACCTAACCTTTGAAGGGATCAATGATGAGGTGAGGTTAGTTTATTCTATGTGAGGTGGATAAAACCTTTATTCTCTGCATGCATCAAAAAAATTATTGTTCTCCTCCTCCATGAGTTACCTCACTATCTATCTACAGGCTTTTCATTAACCCCACTAGCCTTGATAATGACGGTATTTATAATATAACGTAAGTATATCATACACCACATGGTAATAAGGTCAGCGCAGAAAACCATTATTAATTTTACCAAAGAGAAATCTGCAACCAGAATAAAACTAAATGGAGAGATAGCAACAACTATGGAAAGACATCCGATACTCATGGCTCGAAGAGACGACATGAACAGGATGTTTGAATTTAACCAAAACTTCCTCCTTCCTAAACCTGCGTACCAAAAAAGAATAGGGAAGAGAGGGAAACAACTCTTTCAAAAATGGCACAATCCTCTGGTACGCAGATGGATCTAGAACACAAGAAGGCACAGGGGCAGGCATATTTGGACTTGGAACCAAATACTCAGAACCCGTGGGAAAACACACCAGTATTTTCCAAGCTGAGATTCATGCAATCGAAAGATGTACCCAACTCAACCTAAGTAAAGGGTACAAAACAAGGATATAGCTATCATGTCAGTTAGCCAAGCAGCCATTAAAGCACTAAGTTCAAATATCATTAATTCAAGGATGGTGCTGAACTGCAAAACCAAACTAAACATACTAGGTACGCAGAATAAAGTCAGCCTCTGCTGGGTCCCAGGAAACATGGGAGTAGAAGACAACGATAAGGCGGACATCCTTCCAAGAAAAGGGGCTGCTACACTGCTGATACTGCCTGAACCCTTCTGTGGCCATAGGAACCCACACTATTAACGAGTATCTCAGACAGATGGACAAAAAGAAAATGAGGGAACTTTGGAATTCACTCATTGGACACAGACAATCCAAGAATCTTCTAACCAATTTTGGAAGGAAAGTGTCAAGGGCAGCAGGAGCAAACTGAGAATCCTAATAGGAATCCTAACAGGACACTGCAAGTTAAATGGACACTTAAAGAAAATTGGAATAATTCAAGATGGCACATGCAGATTCTGCAAGTAAGCAGAAGAGACACCAACACATCCCAGATACTTCATCCGGAACTATACCTACATCTACTTCATATACCACGTGGAATTTCTAATTTTAATTTTTTTATTTGTTGTTCGCGGGTTGTTGTTGTGCAACGAAGGCGACCTTTAAAAATTGAGTGTTTACAGCTCATAATAACTTTTCTGTAAGCGTCATATCTGTCAGTATTTACAGAACAAGGAACTTTGAAAACTCGTAAAAATTTATTTCTAATTGATTATGTATTTTATTTAGTTAAGGTTCCAAGATAAATACAGTTCAATCTGAGGAGTTCAATGCTCTTTCTATTGATGTAGCTTAATTAACAGTAGGATTAACTTTATATTAGATGCGGGTAATTTATAAAATAAAGCTGCGAACTATTGAAGTAACCCAAATAGTGAAATATCGCAAATACAATTTAGAATCAGACTTCAAACAGTAGAGACTTTTTAGTTCAATTTGAGTCCTGAAATATTCACTATGTATAAAATAATACATAAATAATATATACAATTACAATTAATTAAGATTTTTAGTTGAGATGAAAAAAAGTTAATGCCACGAGCGGGATTCGAACCCACGATTTTCGCCTAGATACGCCGCTGCTCTACCACTTGAGCTATCGTGACCTCGATCCACTCGGACATCAACTTCCTATCACAACCCCACCTTATGAGTTTTACCTCCTATTTGCCATTTTTCAAATGTCGTGTAATCGGTTTGGATTCTCGACGACAATTGAAATGGCCACGGAGAGCTTTAGTGAAGTGTACTTCATATTAATTCTTTAAATTCACTAATTTCGTGGTCCGCTTGACCAATTAAATCATTACAATTAATTAAGGTTTTTAGTTGAGATGAAAAAAAGTTAATGGCACGAGCAGGATTCGAACCCACGACCTTCGGCTAGATACGCCGCTGCTCTACCACTTGAGCTATCGTGATCTCGATCCACTCGGACATCAACTTCCTATCTCAACCCCACCTTATGAGTTTTCCCTCCCACCATGAAATTAGTGAATTTAAAGAATATATACAATAATAAATGGTGTACACCAAAAAGTGCTGGCCCTAGAACTGGGCCTTGAGACACACCAGATGAAATATGGCTGGATCATTAATAGATTTACTTATTCTAGTTACATGCTATCGTCCTCTGAGATGACACGTTTACAATTTAACTTATCATCAAAAGTTTTCAACCAGTGAGAGCGGTTTGAATCAAATTCCTTCGAATATTTTAAAATATACAAAGGAAAATTTTTCGTTGATCATACATTTCAGGAATAAATTCAGAAAGGCTAGAGTAAAACAGCATCTTCAGAACCAATACCAGATGTAGACGAAATGTTCGGGCTGTGAAACGTACTGTGCCCTTCAACAGTTATTGAATCCTCGTTCTGTACTTCTAACACTCCGGTGAGTACTAGCTCAATTTTTAATTTACTTTTTTCTTCAAGATCATACCTTGCTCTAGTGCTCATGAATTATTTTAGTTTCATTTCTTTTATTTTAATAACAGTCTTAATTATAATATCGTTTTTCATAATTTTTCAACTTTGTGTCTTAAATTTCTTTCAATTAGGTATTAAGTCAATGACACGACCGGGATTCGAACCCATGACCTTCGGCTAGATACACCGCTATTCTACCACTTGAGCTATCGTGACTTCGATCCACTCGAAAATTAATTTTCCATATCAACCCCATCTTTTGAATTTTCCCTCCTTTTTGCTATTTTACAAATGTCGTGCAATCTATTTGATTCTCGGCGACAAATCAAATGGCCTCGGAGAGCTTTGTAGTTATATTTTAATTAATATAACGATAATAATACATATTTTCCCAGCCTTTTAAGTCATAGACTTGCACTAGGCCTTATTTTTAATTTTACGACGAATAAGATGGCGTTTGTAAATGTTTTCCTAGCTTCAGTCATTCATCCATATGAAATCATTAAAAATTCGTGTTAATTTTTGCACTTTTTACAAAAACTTCGAATTGAGCAGTGGGGGTCAGGAAATCGTCCTGGAGCAGCGTCTTAAAGGAATCGACAGGACATTTTAATAAGCTTTCAATTGATCATCTTCCACTATGCCCGATTTTTCTACCGTTTTGAGTTATTGGCGATTTAAAAAAAAACACGTGGTTATTCACGTTCTTATAGACAAAACCGATCACTCTCTCTCTCCCGATTTCTAATAATCCATAAATGTTGAACGGTCATGTTTTTTGCAAATTTGAAGCTCTATAACTTTTGTTCCAAGTACATTTTCAAAAAAGTGAACAAGAAAATTACAATTTTTACTTTTTCTTACTTTGCCATTTTGGGATGCCAAATTCTTCTTTTCACAGGTATTGAGGCGTTTGGCTTCGAATTACGTATTGAACAATAAGTTTATATATTGTTAAATTGGGAGAGAGAATGATTTTTTTCCATGATTACGTAGTAAAAACAGTTCGCCCAAAACTCGCGAATAACTCCAAAACAGTTCAGAAGAAATCGGGCATTGTGGAAGGTGACCATGTAAAAGCTTAATAAAATTTCCTATCAACTGCTAAAGGCTGCCGCACCAAATGACGATTCTTGGCTACACACCTCAATCTGTAGTTTTCCTAAAAAGTGAAAAATGAACATGTTCCCGATTTTTTTTAAATTTACTGGTGGATGACTGAAGCTAGGAAGACATTTAAGAAAGCCATCTTCTTCAGCGTAAAATTTTCCAAAAAATAAGACCTAGCGTAGGTCTTGAGTTAAAAGGCTGAGAAAATATGCATTTCCTAATTCACTTTTTACTGCAAAAACTAAAACAAAATAATAATAATAATAATCAACAAAATATCAGTGTCCGTTTTTTGTCTTTGAGAATATATTTCCTCAGGAAAAAAGGCGAACAGTTTAAAGTAGGTACTGGTAAATTTGCAGTTAGATAAACCTTTTATTTTCATTTAAAATGCCTGATGCATTTTTAAAATTTTTGTGGTACCATCGAGATTAGATGAACTAATAAATGAACTTGTTAGAGATAAAAATTATATTTCCTAAATAGTAGCGTTTTTTTTTTAGATTTAACCAAATTAAGTTCCTTTTTGTTTAGTGTAGCTGAATTTGTTGCCTCAATAATTGACCCATACTTTTCTTTAGATTTTCTCTAATATTTAAATAATAATCAACTTTGATTTTATAAAAAGTTTATAAAACGACTTGTGACTTTATTAAGCCAATTTCTTAAATTGTAACCTAAACAATTCGTTATATGTATTTTTATGAAAACGAATGTGGGCATGGATTGCTAAAATAAAAAATAATTTGTTTATATTGTGGAAATATTTTATTTGTTTCATTGTTATTATTAATAATTTTGAATTCATCAATTTTTTTCCAAAATGATCAAACTGAAGATTCTTTTATAAAGGGAAATTGGCTCAAAACACTTCCATAGAGTGTTGTTTTGTCGCCTTGAAACTGACTCGAGTGGAAACGGTTCTGTGGGCTGGCAAAGGTAAATCTTTGATGCTTTTTGTTCCTTTTGTAGCCCGTAACACAGGTAGCTGCTACCGTCTGGCACTAACACACAGACACGCGGACACGAAACTTCCTTTTTTTACCAGTCTCTCCGGCTCCCACCTCTGTTATTACCGGCCTCCCTGAATCTATTAGGAGTTCGGCCCCGACCAGGAGTGCCGAATCTTGTTTGGATTAATTCTGAAGTTTGGCCGAAAGGCGACCGGTGAAATTATACCTGGCCCTCGTCTCGGCTCCTGTACTACGCGATTGTCGATTAGACGTTTCAATTTGTTTAAAAACTGAAGGGGAGTAATTTGGATAATCGAGAAAGGTTTTTTTATCAACCATCTGGACGCGCCTAAGGCTTCATTTTCATCACAAATTGTGATTCATGTACATAACTTAAATGGTACTTTACATTTATTACCTTAACTAAAATCCTCCGAACCCAATTTTATTTACTTTTTAACAGCTGTATTGTCAAACAATGACATTCTGTTTTATTCTGTTTAAAGCCTTTTAATTATACCAAAGCTCAGTGTTTTGGCCTTGTTGCTCCTAAAATCCTCCAAAACCTCTCTAAAATATTCATAATATATTTCGATGCGCAGGTCTGGGTTTATTTATACGTGGAAGAGATAGGAAGTTCAGAAATACTGTAATAAGAAACTTCTCTACCTGCCAATTAGCACCCCAGATTACATCTTATTTATTGCGAACTACAGCTATTCTCTGAGCCTACATCTGAAATACTTTAGAAAGGTACTGAATCACACACCTGGGGAACTGACGCATTTTGTAGCAGAAGGAAGAACAAATAAAGGCTTATCGTGGCAGAAGGAGCTGTCAGAGTTAGGTAGACTGTACAGTGTAGGAGTAAGTAGGGAGGAACTGAACTCCTCTTATAAAAAAGTCGGAGGCAAGCATAAAGTTCAGAAATTATTTATTAAGAAACTTCTCTGCCTGCCAATTAACACCCCAGACTACATTTTATATATTGCGAGCTCGGTCACACCACTCTACAGCTATACTCTGAACCAGCATCTGAAATATATAAGAAAACTTCTGAAACACACACCTAAGAGACTGATGGAGTTTTTTTGGCAGTTGTGGGGATAAATAAAGGCTTATCGTGGCATAAGCAGCTGTCAGAGATAGGTAGGCTGTACAGTGTAGGAAGGAGTATGTTGGGAGAAACTGAAGTCCTCTAATGCCACAATCCTGATTAAAAAATATGAGGCAAGCAAAAGGAAGGTCTGGCCTTCCACGCCCGAAATATCTTACATCGCAATTTGTAAGCAAGTCCGGATTTAAACTTAGGCTGAAATGACTATTCGCAGATCGTGAGATGAGGTCTGGTGTAAAGTAGGTTTTAGAAAAATTATTATCGTGGCAACGTTTCGACCTTTATTGACATCATCTTCAGGGCTCAAAGTTTTTGTTTTCTGCGTAATTGTATCATTCTTGTGTGTCGTGTTGAGAGTGCCCGTTGAGCCAGGAGATCGTTCTGGAGCAGCATCCAATAGAAATCGATAGGGCATTTTAAAAGCTTTCAATTGGCGACCACTTTGCCCGATTTGTCAACCGTTTTCGACTTTTGAGGGATTTTTGGGAAAAAACGTGGTTATTCACGTTGGGCACTCTCGACACGACACCCAAGAATGACACAATTACGCAGAAAAGCTCTGAAGATGATCTCAATAAAGGTCGAAACGTTGCCACGATAAAGAAAATGTTTTTCTAAAACCTACGTCACGCCAGACCGCATCTCACAATCTCCGAATAATCATTGACTAACGGTCATTAAACACGACACATTTAAGTAGAAACTACATACATTGCTCTAGTATGACAACCCTTGAGGTATCTTTGGTCTTAATGGAGACGGATTGATCCGGCTGAATTACCAACCATATAGAAAGGACCGTGCCATCATCTACTCCTGTGCAACCACGACATCCCAGAGGACACTTTCAACTTCATGGGAGTATGCCCTGTTCTAACAAAGTTCCGCCAAAAGTACTTGGGGAAATTGAAGCTGGATAAAGAAGAAGTCGTCGCAATCTATAACGGAAGAAATAACTGGATGAATCTTGTGGCTTATCGTACGCCCTTCATTACCGAAAATATCTGATTGACCAATTTCTAAAATAAAATAACAAACTTTGGTATATAAGAGTATAAGGCAACGTCTTAGGGCATTGTCAATAAGAGCTTTTTCGAAATTTAAAATTAAGTATACTGTTGTAATAAATAGAGCATTCAGTCAAAACATATTTTCCAAAAACTTGGAAAATCTCAAATTGCCAAATATACTTTAACCCAAAAAACCAACTCATTGTACTACCTCAACAAGGCCAAAAAGTCCAATTTACGGGAAAATTGTTAAAAAAAGCTTCTCAATCACTGACCACCAATATTGTTTTCGAGTATGCTGCTTTACTGTTCAACAGTCTCATGACATCACGGTATCTATTCCTTCCTGGTTGACGCGGAAATAGCCGTGGCCTTTTGTCGAGTTTTTGATCGAGCTTTTGATGTGTTTATCACCTTTCTTGTTTCCCTTGTTAACATCATTCCATCTACCTATTATATCGTTCTTTACCGTTACCTCGCTGACCAGTTTTTCCGAGTCATTGAAAGCAATTCCCGCTCCGGGTAATATCTATCATACTGATGTGCCTCAGGGCCAAAAGTTAAAAAATATTCAAATACAATATTTCAGTTTAGTTAATCTGTATTTAATTATTTGACTTTCCTTACATATTGATGGGTTAACAACTCGGAATAATCATCACTAAGTTGACATAATCGATCACTAAAGTTTATGGAAGCTCATCTTAAATGATACAACTGAACTAAAGCGCTGTATCACTCCTTCATCTTTCCTGTATTGGTCTAATGACTTAAT